TGCATAAAGATTGCTCATGAGTGAATCTTGATCCTTATTCGAGGACGAATGAACTTAAGTGGGGGGGGGGGGGATGTAAGGCCCCGTGAAAATTTCTACTCAAAACCCGAGAGCTCATAGTTCCAAGTTAGGTATAAGTGTTAGAGGCGAGCCGCGATTCGGACCCTTTAGACTGATCTATGCATTAAAAAGTTAAGGAATAATGTTTTCCAGAAAAGTGCGTTTCTGCGGTCCATTATGCGATCGCAGAATAGCTATGCGGACCGCATAGTCGCTGCAGAGTCAGGCAGTGTGATAGTAAATTTGAGGTAAACTATGCGGTCAATTATGCGATCGCATAATCACTATGCGGGCCGCATAGTCATCGCATAATCCCCTTGAAATTTTTGTAAGGGGCAGTTCTGCGGTACATTATGCGACTGCAGAACATGTATGCGGACCGCATTTCTGTCGCATACTCAGACAGTGTGTTCAGGTTTTGGGGCCATTTTTGCGGTCCATTCTGCGGGCCGCATGTCCATTATGCGATCGCAGATCGTGTCGGGGCTCCTATTTTCTAACTTTTAAAACCCGACCCCATCCCATTAAAAACACCCCATTAGACCATTTTTCTGATATTTCACTGCAATATAGAGTGAGAGATGAAGTTCTAGAGAGAGAGGGAGTGACCTTCATCAAGTCCCCACTCAATCCTTGCCCCAAATCCTTGAAGATTGTCAAGTGAAATTACTAGGTCTTCACCCTAAGAGGTAAGAACTTGTACCCTCATCTATAATTTCGAAATTTCTATTAAAATAAGTGATAGCAAGTGGGTTCATGGGTATAAGGGCTGATAATCTTCCATGCATAAAAGATAATGGGGTATGGGGAGGTTGTGAACCAAAAAGATAGCAATTGTGGTTTAGGATAATGAAAAATCTCTCACAAAAGGGTCCTAAAATCACTGTGCACACTTAGTACTTGATAATTTACTTAAATGAGCTAGAATCTTATTCATGCCTCTAATTCTTGGTTCAACTCGTAATTTTCATAAAATAGATCGAAGTTGCTAGGAAATTCCTGAATTTATTATAAGGATTTAAGGAAAGCTCCATTGAGGTATGTATGGCTAAAACCCCATCCTCTTAGAAATTGAGCTTCCATGGTGCCCTTGCAAATGTTGTAAGTTCGAAATTTGATTGATGTAGTACTTATTATGTTAAATGAATTGATGTTGTGAAGATGTATGTAGAAGGTGCTTCTTCATGTGCTTAATGTGTTATTCTTTGAAAATTGAGGATGTGTGGAGAACATGATCTATGTGCTAAATGCTTAAATGTCAAGTCAAGGTTATATTGGGACTAATATGCCGAACTAGATGAGTTCCTCTCTATGCTTATAACTTAAATTGCTTTTGTATGTGCCTATGATCTTAAATGGAAAGGTAAATGTTGAAAACGGGAACAATGTAAAATGTGAGTTAGGGAATGTGGTAATTGTGGCCCCAAGCGCCGATGAACTAATACATGTGAAACCAAAGATTGAAGTGAGATGATCAACGGAGAAATGGTAACGTCTCGGGGAGACGGCTTAGCCGATCGGACCGTGATCGGACGCCATGTTATACACACATGGTGGTAATGTATTGATAATTGATACTGGAAAGTGAGAATGAAATAATGGTAACGTCTCGGGGAGACGGCTTAGCCGATCGGGCCGTGATCGGACTCCGCTCTAGGAAGCGGTGGTAATGTGGATAATCATGCAACAGTATGGAATGCTCCAATCTAAAATTTCAAAAACTATGTGAAAACTATGTGAACCTCTTATATTGTTGACGTGGCGCTTATTTGAAGCTTTGTTGTTCTTATGATTTCTTTTTGCTCTTGTATGGTTGTTCTTTCTAACGGGATGGTGTTTAGTTATACATACTAGTACTATTCCATGGTACTAACGCCCCTTTTGCCGGGGGCGCTACATTTTTAAATGAATGTGGGTGGCTCCATAGCGAATAGTGCCGATCGCGCGTAGCGGAGCATCCTCCTCTCAAAGTCTTGGTGAGCCCCTTTCTCCTTCAAGGGGTTATGTTGTACAGCTTTTGTTATAGATATCCACTTTTGAGGTATAGCCGGGGGCTTGTTGCCGGCGTTGTTATCATTGTCTTTTGTATCCTTAGAGGCTCCGTAGACGTTTGTGTGGGTTATGTACGGGCGTTGGATGGGTCCGTGAACTATGTTGTAATTATAAACTCTTGCTTTCTTCTAAACTATAACTGTATGAAATCTTGAAAACCTAACTGCAGTTTAAGGTTGTGTTATAAAATGAACTATCAATGTTGAATGTACAACCCCTCTTATTGTCTAATTAAACGGAAACCGGATTCCTTAATCACATTGAATTGGGTAGAAAGTGTTTGATAAGGCTTGCTCAGTTGGGTTCACTCGATTGAGCGCCGGTCGAGCCTCCTGAGGTTGGGGCGTGACATCATTGCATTTCACCTCTTTGTTTTTATGTTAATCCCTCGGCGACCCACAACCATGCAAAATTATGAAAAAAAAATAAAGAAAGCATGTTCCAGAAAAAATTGCTTACTAAATAAACTTAGCTTTACACAGAAATGATGAAAAAATGTCACGCTCTTCTTAATTAGATGCATAAATTGGACACGAGTAAGAATTTTCATGTTAACTTTGCATGTTTCATATAATAAAAAAATAGTTGTTTGGACTTCGATCACTAATTTTTTTCACATTTTTAGTTTAATTTTGTTTTGTAAGAAAAAGAAAAGAAATAAGAGCACACTATACTACGACAAATAAAACTCGTAAACAAAATAAAATAATCTGCGTATTCACTAGCAAAATATTCAAACAACTATCAATAAGGAAAAACTAATATCAATCGAATTTTACGTATTTATATTGATTACTATTTGGCAACTTAAGCAATCAAGATTTGATACAAGCACATCAGGACCTATACTATGATACACATAATTCAAAGATGTCAGACGTGGAGGCCACTTCAGCTGCTGAGTAGGATAATTTGAATAGCTGTTACTTTTCGAATTTTACTGCTTTGGCGGGAATTTCAGTTAGAATATAATTTTAGCATATTTTGCATTTCAGTAGATTGTTTAGGAGCATAAGTAGCAAGTTGAAAACTCTTATTACACACTTTTGACATGTTATAGAGTTTCTAGTCTTCTCTCTAACTCCTTCTAGTCTCTCTTCTTCCTACTCCTTCTCATTTTTCTGCTTATCTACCACTTCATTGCTGAATCGATACCAATTTTGGTATCAATTGGTATCAGAGCCACACCATGGGACCACGCAAAGCTATTAATCTCACATCGGGGAATCCAACTCTAGATTGGTAGGATCAATATGAGGATTTAGCTACTCAGTAACAAAACCTGAGTTCAATTCTCGATCAAAAAATGCAGGAATTGCGAGCTGATATGGATCACAAACATGCTGAAATGATACAGATGTTGGGAGCCCTCAAAAACTTGATCGACGGAATGCAGCTTCATCAACAGTCACGGGACAGCAATTCTACTTCCAATTTTCGAGATAATGTGCTGCAATCAGATCAGGGAATTTAGGCCCTAATCCTTACTATGCTCATAACAATCGAGGTCATAATCTGATATTTTCTAGATTTAATGGGAAAAATTTGAAAAGCTGGCTGTATAAGATCGATCATTATTTTTCTGTTGATAATACTGCTGGAAATCAGAAAGTAAACATAGTATCTATGAATTTGGATGATGATGCCCTAGCTTGGCATCAGTCATACATGAAGTGCAGAGATTCATGCATCCTTCCACCATGGGATGAGTATATTGAAGCTTTGGTTGAAACATTTAGGCAAGAATATACAGATCCTATGCTAGAGTTGAAGCAACTGAAATGAACTAGTTCAGTGAAGGAGTTTCAATTTGCCCTTGCCAGACTGCTAGCTCAATGTGACTTAACTGTTAGCCAGGCTATTTCCTGTTTTTTAGGAGGACTGAAGGATGGGTTAGTGAACCCTATTAAAATGCATGAGCCTCAAAACTTGTCCAAAACATATCGATTAGCCGAAGCTACCTTAGCTGCTAATGCTAGAGCACTAAGGTATAGTCCTGCATATATGTCATCCACACACCTTAAAAAGCCATCCTATGAACCACATCCCACCAAAGCTACTCGTATTACTACTACCTCGGCTCCTAGACTAGCCACACCTCCTTCGACCAATGCCATTGTCCCTAGGAATATGAGAACTATTTCTCCTGCAGAAATGCAGGCTAGAAAAGCCCAAGGTCTATGCTATTTTTGTGATGACAAGTGTACTGTCGGACACAAATGTAACCTACCTAAACACCTATTTGTGATGGATCTAGATGTCTCAGAAGGTGAAGGTGTAGAGGTTGCTAGGCCAGAATCTGAAGGAAGTCCTTCTAGTGAAGAGTGGTCAACTGTGGAAGGGGATACTCCTATGATCTCCCTATGTGCCTTAAGTGGATTGCAAGGGGCTCAAACAATACATGTCACTGGATATAGTGAAAAGAGACCAATACAAATCTTCCTTTATGGAGGTAGAACTCACAACTTCATTGATGAAAATGTTGCTAAGAGGTTGGGCTATCAAATCTGCCCTACCAGGGTAAGCTATGTGAGCCTTTGTAACAATACATTGGACAAAGGGTAAGCTATGTGAGCCTTTGTATCAAATCTGCCCTACCAGGGTAAGCTATGTGAGCCTTTGTATCAAATCTGCACGGAACTACAATTTCCTCCGGCTTAATTGTATTTCCAGTGAGTAAATATGACTTGGTCTTAGGGGCTTTGTGGATGAAAATACTAGGACCTATTACCATGGATTATTCTGAGCTGACTATGGCTTTCAATTACCAAGGGAAGTATCATTTGCTAAAAGGAGTATCTGAGGATGCAAAGTTTCCAGTCCAAAATCTTTGAACTGAAGGGAGAGGAAGTGCAATTCTTTATGTTCCACTAGTCCCTATTTTCTCATGTTAGAAATCATTCATCAATCGCATAAAATAAGTGTTACATATAGCAAAATTCTGGACCTACGTTTCCCTAATCTAGGGAATCCAAAAAAGTTCCCAAATGTTTACATCTTGTTCATAATTCAAGTTACACCTAAAGTACATCAATTGCAAAACTCTATATGAAGTGCAGTGTGTTCCATATGTCTGAGGTGTTTCTTTGCTCTCTTCCCTTTCCAGTTGTAACAGCAAAACCTGCAAAGATAACTGCAGCTCCCGTCGCACCCCAAACAAATACAAATGTGCAATGCAATATAACATCATTTGCATTTTTACTACAATATTTTCATCTCCTTTTATCTAAGAAGATACATAGCCAGCAGCGGAGCTGGAGTGCTAGCAGCTGGTTCGGACAAACCTAGTAGCTTTAGTTCAAATTATATAGTATTTGTCTTTAATTTTTTTTTGAAAGTATACAAATTATTAATTTAGAACAAAATAACTTAAAAGGACTAAGAATTTTGAACCCTTAAACTCAAAATCCTAGCTCTGCCGTTGAGGCGAAGGAGCAAACATTGTACAGAGGTTCCTAAGCAGAATCATATAGAAATGGTAATGTGGAGTCAACTATGTTTTCTATTGAACACAGCTATACACAATAATTCACCTTTTACCATAAAAGTAGAAGCCAGAGTCCAAAAAAGTACAAGCTGATAAAAAGAATAGGTTACTGCATATTATACTAGACTCACCTTTCTGATGCTGAAAACAAACATTATAATAATATAATGGCTGTTCCAGAGATCAAACAGAAAACAAAAACAGATAATGAAGCAAATCACTAGAGGTCGAACCAATTGGATGCCATACATGGTTGGACTTAGCAAGATAATGCAAATAAATATGGACATACACAAAACTTTGGCAATTACCTAAAGCCATGCTTGATTTATTTTGCTCAACTTGAGAACAAGAGAATTCAAGTCCCAACATTAACACGGTTATGGATAGCAGAAGGACTCGTGTGAGACAATTAAGTATTTTTCATCCATAAATTCATAAGTTGTCACAAACACAACATAATCCAAAAAGGCAATTGGATCTTCTTTTCTCCACAGTGATACTAAACATTCTTCATATGTCAACTCTTTGTTTCACATGAATCCTTTAACTACCCACAACCATGTAAAATGACAAGAAAATAAAGCAAGCATGTTCTAGATAATCTGCTAACATAAAAATAAACGTAGCAAAGTACCCAAACATTGAAAATGGAAAGAAGAAAAACCTAGCACCGTACAAAAGATAATTAAACAAATACCTGAAACCGTGTTTCCTTTATTTTTATGAGGATCAGAAAAGCCTAGTCTCAAATTTAGCATGGTTATGTGAATGCCGAGGGATTCATCAAAAAAAAAGATGAAGTGGTTTCTTCTGCAATTTAGCTGACATCAAATTAATGTTTTGGCATTCTTTTCTCCTCAAAGACTTCTATAGATTCATTGCGTTTCACCTCTTTGTTTTTATGTTAATCCCTCGTCGACCCACAACCATACTAAATTATGAAAAAAAATAAAGAAAGTATGTTCCAGAAAAAATTGCTTAATAGATAAACATAGCTTTAGTAAGTGGTGGCGGCTGAGGAAAAGAACCCTAGCTTTAGAAGATGCAAGATTGCGGACTAAAGGCAAGGGATAAATAGAGAGAGCTTTTATCAATATTGCACTAGAGCCCCTTAAACTTCTAAAGATTTAGAAATTTGTATCCTTGATTACTTCTTAAGTCGATTAACTCCATCCTCACTCAAGCACTAGAGCCCCTTACACTTCTAAGTATTTTCATGTTAACTATACGTGTGTGTTTCATATAATGAAAATAATAATATTGTTTGGACTTTGATTACTAATCTTTTTAATATTTTCAGTTTAATTTTGTTTTGTAAAACAAAAAAAGTACACTATAATACGACAAATAAAACTTGTCAAACAGAATTAGAAAGGTTTGTGCATTCACTTAAACAACTATGAATAATAAAAAACTAATATCAATCGAAATTTAAGTATTTAGATTGATTACTATTTGGCAACTTATAGCCTGTTTAGCCAAGCTCCTCTTGAGGCAAAAGTATTTTTTTCTTCTAAAATTAAGGTGTTTGACCAAGCCTTTGAAAGGAAAAAAAGTGCTTTAAAGAGAAGTAGAAGCAATCTTGGAGAAGCAGAAAAAAGTAGTTTCTCTCCAAAAACACTTTATTGAAAAACACTATTGAGAAAAATACACGTAGAAGCAGTTTTTTAAAGCTTGATCAAACACTAATTACTGCTCATAATTAGGGGTGTACAAGCCAAACCATCAAGTCAAACCGAACCGACGAACCAAGTCAAACCGAAGAAAAAACCCGACTCATGGTTTGATTTGGTTGGTTTGATGTTGGAAAATAAAAAACCGATAACTCTTAGTTTGGTTTGGTATTAACAAAAAATAAGTCAAACCGAATCTAAACCAAACCGATATTATATATAAATATATTATTAAAATTTTATACATAAAAAATAATCATTAAAATCTAATTTGTAAGTATTTTCTAAATTATTTTATAATTTTCAATATCTTGAGATATTATTTATTTGTGGACTTGTAAATTCACTATCCACTAAGTAGATTCTATCTACGTAATCCAAATATGAAGCCCAAATTAAACCCAACAAGACAAAAGACAACAAAACCCAAGTTCTCTGTGCTTATGCACTAGATTGCATATTCAGTTAATCCTCGGATCATTACGGATGGCAGCATTGGATTTTCTCCTTTCAATACATATTTGGTGCAGTTGGTTGTCATCTTGCTCACATAATTGGTGATTATTTTAGTGTTGAGGTTTATCAAGTTTACACTTTATAGTGCTTTGCTTTATCACATATTTGTTGTCATTTTCTATTACGAAAGGTCTTACAATTATGATTCATAGGAACAATTGGTATTACTCATAGATTGTTTAGAAAAATAGTAATGATGCAGATAATGGTGACCATTTGATCTCTTTTACAAGCATAATATATAACTTAAAAGAAAAATCGAAAATAAACCGAAAAACAGAGGAAATCGACTAAAATCGAAACCGAAAAAACCGAGTTTGTGTTGGGTTGATTTGATTATGAATTTAGTAAACCGACATAGTTGGTTTGATTTTGGTTTAATAAAAAACCAAACCAAACCGCCTCATGTACTCCCCTACTCATAATTGTTTTTCAAATTAATTAGCCAAACATAAACTGCTTCTCATTAAAAGCACTTTTGAGAAAAACAATTTTGCGAAAAAGTACTTCTCAAAATAAGCTGATTTTTGCAGTTTGGCCAAATGGACTATAAGCAATCAAGAATTGATACAAGCACATACGGACCTATATTATTAAACTCAACAAGCTCATAATTTATAGTTGGAATCTTTGATTTCAAATTTTCTTTTTTCAATTGCTTTTTACTATAAAGTTTGAGGACTAAAATGATACAAAAAATATGCATAGGTCATAAAGTCAAGATAAGTATAAAATAAGACAATGGAGCTGACTAACCCTAATTTTCTTCTACTGCATTCTTTCGAAGAATTAACCTAAATAGCGGTTCATTCAATCTCTTAAACTAAAAATAGCAGGAAGTATAATATATTTGAATAACATAGATATAATCATGTGTAATTAATGTATAATTTATATATATACTGGTTAAAAAAATAACCAGTAAATCTATCTGGCTAGACCTTTATTTAACTTCCTTTTATACAAGCCCACTAATTTAAGTTTTAGCAGAAAATGATAGAAATAGGACACCGATAAGGGGTGGTATTTAACATTTGGCCGTTGGAGCAAGTCATTGACCAATGGGGAAACTTTTAAGTTCAATCTTTTTTTTGTTAAATTTGAAGTTTTGCCTATTGACATGTCCAAAATGTCAAAAGTTCAAAACCAACCACCTTTAAGGTCATTTGTAAACTTAACCCTTAATTTAGTTGTGGTTATGGATTTTGCCAAGGGAGAATGACAAAGATAGGACACTTCGGGCCATAATTAATTTTTTTTTCTCCAGGTAACATAAGTTTGAAAAAACAAAACCCCATTCTAGAATTTTAAAGTTCGCTCGGTAAGATTTTTGTCAATCGCCAGAATTTTAAAACACATAACAGTTATGTGATCGTTAGCATTTTTTCACAAATCCTAATGAATCAGTGAAAATCTTTCAGCATTGTGGCTGAAACCTTTTGGTGATCATCATAATTTGTAGCGCTTCAAAATGCTGACGCTAAAAATTATAGTGGTCGTCAGAATTTTTAATATTTTTAAAATTCTGTGGGGGGGGGGGGGGGGGGGGTTGAGTTACTTCAAAATTTGGAAGGTTATTTAAATTCTAATGGGAGGCCATTTTCCAAAACTTTTCTTACGGGAAAAATGGTTTCAAAAAATCCATCCAGCGTAACTGTTAGGGATTTTTTCGTTCCTATATTATATTTCAAACTTATTTACCCGAAGTGTTTAAGATTTTCTATTTACTAAAGCTAAGTGGTCTTTTTTACAAATAGTATACATCCCCTTGAAAAAGCTCCCAAACTATAGTTGATGCCTTCAATTAAGGGATTCAGTTACACCCTTTTTCTTTTTCTCTCTCTTGTCCTCTCTCCTTATACTACAGCATCCCTTCCTATTCTTCACCACTGATATTGAGATTAAATTTTGGAATTTGATTTAACACGTAGGAACATTAAAAAAGGATTGACTCTAGATTAAGGTTTCTTCATAAGCTCTTTTTCAAATGGACATTGATGCACTTTGATCTCATTCTGGCAAAAAAAAATACCTCGTCTCGAGTACATATATGCATGTAAAATACACTCCTTGAGGCTTGAGTATATACTTAAGTCGCTGAAAACTTCACCAAAAAAGAGAAGCTTTTATTTCTGAATATTTAAGGTAAAATTGGGGAATAATCAAGACAAGGGTTGTAACGACCCGACTGGTCATTTTGCGTTTTAGAACCCCCGTTCCCTTAAATAAAACTTCCCGCACTTGCTTTAACTAATTTATGACTTGCGGGGACGGGTGGTTCGGAAGTTAGAAGAGTTTTGATCAAGAATATGTCCATTTGCTTCTTTAAGTTTTTCTAAAAAGGCCAAGTTTGACTTCGGTCAACTTTCTTAGGAAACGAACCCGGATTCGTGATTTGATGATCCCGGAGGGTCTGTGGAAAAATATGGGACCTGGGCGTATGCTCGGAATCGAATTCCGAGGTCCCTAGCCCGAGTAATGAATTTTTCTGTGAAATTGTTAACTCGAAGTTTTAAAGAATTAAATAAACTAAGTAATCATTGATTTCCTAGGTATCGGGCTCAGATTTTCGTTCCGAAGCTTGGTACAGGTCTGAAATATCATTTAAGACCTACCCGTAAAATTTGGTGTCAATCCGAGTAGTTTAAGGGCGTTTTGACCCGTTAGAAGGAAATTAAGAACTTGGAGTTCAATAGATTGATTCATTTGGTTTTAGGACGTGATTCCTAGATTTAACGTTGTTTTGAGTGATTCGAGGGGCGGGGCACGGGAGCCCCGAGCGTCAACGAGCGAGGCTCGAGTGAAGTTAAAACTTGGAAAAGGACTGAAGTTTGCTGCTTCTGTCATAACCGCATCTGCGGTTCTTGGACCGCAGAAGCGGGACCGCAGATGCGGTCATTTGATCGCGGAAGCGGAAAGGGGCAGGCCATGGGAAACCGCAGAAGCGGCCCAGGGACCGCAGAAGCGGTTCCGCCTATGCGGCCCCCAGACCGCAGAAGCGGTCCAGCTCCCTATTGCCGAAAGCCGCAGAAGCGCCCAAAGTCCGCAGAAGCGGAAATACCTCCGCAGAAGCGAAATTAGCTGGGGGCAGAAGAGTTCATTTAATACGAACTCAAACCCATTTCTCTCATTTTTCACTCCACACTTAGGCGATTTTGGGGCTTCCAAAGAGAGGGTTTCAACATATCATCACAAGGTAAGTAATTTCCACTCCCCCTTAGTTTAAATACATGAACATCAGGTAAATTAAACACTAAAAACTAACTAAAAATCAAGGGTTAGAGCTAGACCTAGGGTTTTAATAAAACTAAGATTTAAGCATGTAATTTGCCATGTAATGAGATAGAAATCATATATTTGTTATCCTTAGGTGATAGAGAGCAACTTCCTTCGAAAAATCTCGGAATCCGGGCACGTGGGCCCCAGGTCGGAATTTAAAAAACTTGTGGGAAAGGTTGGGAAATCACTTAAATAGTTAGAATTCAACCTTGTAAGCATTTATTGACTAGTTCTTACTTTATTTTAATTAGTTTGTGCTCGTTCGGCTACGAATTGAGGGTTTGGGCTTGTTCTTGAGATTGGAAGTGCGCTTCGGAGCGAGGTGAGTCTCCTTTCTAACCTTGTAAGAGGGAATTGTCCCCATAGGATTATAAATGAGTAATTGTTGCTAAATGCGGGGGCTACGTACGTACTAGGTGACGAGAGTCCGTGCGTAGCTACTATAATGTTAATTGTTTGGGTAGTTTAGGACCCACATCATGCCTAATTGGGCAACATCTATTATTTTTATTGCCAATATGATCATTTATGATTTGCTAGAGACTTGAGGGAATGAAAAGTGAACATATGAG